CTGTTTACACCTGGTATTAAGATGAGTTTTGGTAGATTGGATCACATGTGGTTGACACTAAATACAGGTTCTGTCAGCACCACTATAGTAAAAGATGATTGACAAGTAGCATACAGTTTGGATTGGCGGTATGGTTCTGTTCTGTTGGAGAACTCCCTGCGCATCCGTGTAGCCTAGCATGGATAAGAGCAGCAATTTGGCAATTACCCCCTTAGGGTAATTAGAACAGAACCAACGTGAATGTAATGAAGATATCATTAATGTCACTATTTTAATATACAACATAATCCAAGAAATTAGTCTGATTCAAGGGGAATCAGAATGCCAAATCCTGACTGGATGAGAGGTGGAGCTGGGGATGGAGGAGGGTAATTAGCTCATGAAAAACGAGATAGCTGCTAATAATACTAAAGGAGCTTATCGGCCCTATTTTAACGTTCTGAAAGTAACTTTGTGGGCGGGTCTTGGGCACTGTTGCTATATTACCGGCGGGATAAATGACTCATGCATTACAAGTTGCTCAAGCAAGTGGTCAAATATTTCCTATATTAAAATCGCAAATAATTTAAATTAAAACTTGAAATGACAAAAGCAGCCGACTTGCCTTTTCGTTTGCATCTTAATTTTAAAACAATAGATCTTGCATGTCACAAAACTTATTTTTCCACCTCCACGATTGAGACGAGTTCATTCTGTCGCCTGGTTGAAGTAAATTGTAGTTTTCCTGGATTAAATGTCCATTTATGGTGAGATTACTACATTTTATTTAATTAAATGCATTTATGGTGAAATTACTACATTTTCAGGTCAATCTTTATCATTTTGACCACCAGCGTTTGCAGCACAGCAGAAATAGATTCGGTGTGGAAACGATCGCTGTGCTGCTGTTGTACCACACCAGTGAAAAGTGAAAGCCCTAACCTGTTTACATGGTGCGTAGGAGACTGCTGTGCGGCACTTGCTCTGCTTCAAGTCGCTAACAGCCATTTGAGCTTCTACTGCTTCCTGATAATTTAAACACCAACCTTCGTGCGCAGTGGCTGCACAAAATAGACATTTTGATCGACGCGCAAAAAATAATAAAAACATTAAGTATGTGTTTGTTGTACAGCGGCGGATCAGTTATTCACTGTGCAAACGCATCATAATATGTGAACGCACTAACAGCACGCTCCTGCACCGCAACACACACTGCAAACGGGTGTGAAACGGAGGTTAGATCCACTACAGTTCTAAGAAACTTAGATGTGTTTAAGAACTCTTTTTTTCGTACAACAGCAGCACTCATCTTGTTTGTTTATTAGTGGATGCGGATGACCAGTCGTAGACCGGAAACTGATACGCCAACTTCTGACAAAAGCGGAAGTTCGAAACTTCGGTTGTGCACATAGCCCATTGAAAATGTATGTTTTACGATTTGTTGCGCGTTTCTGAAATAACAATTTAGAAAAAAATTTCAGCCAATATATCGGAATATCGGATTTTAACCCTTATGCTGCATTAGGGACATTTTTGGTCTTTTGCAGTTTAATTTCTTTGACCATTTTGGCTGTTTTAATGCAAATGGTATGAAATTTGGCAAAATTGTGACTTTTTGGATACATGTAAAAAATGTGATCCCATTTTGCAAAATATGTATAACACACACTGTGTAGATCAAATAGTAACACTCAGCACCATAAAGACCAAAAATGGCCCATTGAAACCCATTAAAACGTTGTTTAAATCTGAGGCTGTCAGTAATACATGAAACATGATTTTTGCACAAACATCCTTTCATTTTGAAGCAAAAGCATTATATTTGCATTATATAGTGTATTCCACCAGATGACGTCACTACATATTTATTCCCTATGGGTGGAAATGCACCTTATTTTAGGCAATAGGCAATGTTTAATAGGTGGCCATTTTTGGTCTCTAACGCGCTAAGTGGGATTTTTTGCAAAGTGGGACTGTGATAATCCAAATCTAAAGTTTTCTCTTTGCATTTAGTTTATTGAAAATAATTGAATTTTTGTGTTTTTTCCTCTTATACAAATCGATGGTTTCGCAAACAAAACTGGTAATTAAAGGGTTAAAATCCTGAAATTGAATACATTTTTGGTAGTTATGATGAGGACTGATGCTGGTTAAAAGATTTAACTTGGTAAAAGTGGAAAATAATAATAATATATAATATTTTAGGCAATGTTTAATATGTGGCCATTTTTGTTCCTTAATACACTCAACGGTGTTAAAAATCTAATGCAGCACAAGGGTTAAAACCAATAAATATTTGTATCGGTATCGGACTTCAAAATCCTTTATCGGTCGGGCTCTACTTTAGACTAGGTTTTTTTCTGGTCAGTGGCGGAATTGTTTTCTGAAACTGCAAAATAGCACTAGGGTATGTTTGCGCCGAAACACGCCTTCTTTTTTGCGCCGATCCTCCCCCGCGCCCCTATATATGAATACAGTGATAGGGCTCATTTTCCTACAGGTAGACGTGGATTAGCTGAGAGTCAGCTGACGCAAGCTTGACTAACATGACCAGCCAGAACTAACGCTACGCTTGATTGTAAACAGGGTCTAAATCGTTTTGATATTGTCCACTTTCGACAACTTCCAGAGGTAGTGGAAAATGCCTTTGACCGCCCACAAAAGACCGCCTACTCTCCGCCTACTGATCTCACGCGCAAACATGGGAAGTGTGCAAGCCAGACGGTATTTAAACTTTATCGGCTGGAGACCTAAATTTGAAGATGAAAAACATACAAAGCATAATTGTATGATTTTCCGTCATCTCCGGGCGCGTTCATATGTAAATTGCACAAGCTTATTTTGTCCATTAGATTGAAGGATCTGAAAAAAAACCATACTTTATCCACCCATAGACCCTCCCCTTAAAGAATTCAGGACAGAAGTGTTTCGAAAGTGGACAAAAGAGATTAAAATGCCAGATGTCTCCCTCGTCTACTTGTGATCGTCCAAAACGCATCTTAATAGCAGCTGTAAACAGGGCTAAAGGTAGTCGTCAGTATCATAGTTATGTACATGTAGATGCCATTTCTTCTGAACACAAAGGAAGATGTTTTGAAGAATGTCGGTAACCAGACAGTTGATGAACCTATCTAACAGTGATAAACTAAATCCTGCAAAAATAATCTGCAGTAGTCTATTGCAGATATAGATATTTATACATATGAATAACTACGGTTGCAGACGTACCGTCACATTATGTACCGTATTATGGTGGATGACTTACGCATTATGTCCAATTGAAACAGCCACTAATCAGCCATCTATGTATAGTATCTGTGGTCAGTATAAAATTACAAAACAATTTTAACAATTTCGTCTTAACACTATATCAAATAATGAGATATGTTTGTTACAGTTTTGTACATTCCTGTAGCTACTAGTTAAAGGGGTGATGAACTGAGAAATCAAATTTTCCTTGAGCTTTTGACATCTAAGAGGTCATCATATTATAAGAATATCCTGTAAGTTTCAGAACTGAAAACGTCCTTGTTAGTCCAATAAAAGCTGTTATTGACACAGCCTCTAAAAACGACTCGTTTTTAAAAGTGGGGAACTATGATGACAAAGAGGATAAAACACCACCCCCACAGAAGATGATCAACGTCTGCTTCACCACGGCAGGTTTAGCCCCGCCCACCGATTCGCGCATTACACACATAAGTATCATACATGCTTACCTCGTGATGACAAACTGGATCGCTACCGAGCAATACAGAATATTGTGCAGCGCTGCATAAGCTTCCTGTGGATTCCAATAGGACTGCATGGATAAAATTTATTTTTAATGACGTTCCAGCTGATGAGGTAAAACATCGTCGTCTGTTCGCTTCATTTCACTGAGGATTGTTTTGTCAACAAGACTGGATTTGCAGACCGATTAAGAGTAAAGAACGGTGCTGTGCCGTCTATAGACCATTTCACAAGATGTAAACAACACTGGTCCAGAAGCACTTCCTGTTTCAGTTTTTTAACACTACATAAAAGCTGGGATAAAATACAACCAACAGAACATTTAAAACTGAATCAAAAAGTTAAACAAACATCTTTAAGATGTTTTCTTTACATGTGAAATAAAGAAAACAGTTACAAACTGAAACAGGAAGTGCTTCTGGACCAGTGTTGTTTACATCTTGTGAAATGGTCTATATTGGATCTGACAGGAATATTGTGCAACACACGGACTCTGGGTTGAACATGTATGGGCGAATCCGGTTGCCATTTGACAACATAGGACGTTTTCCCCCACGTACACGACGGGGTGAGTTAAACTCATTATAATATGCAAAACTGTTCTCCACTCGCAGCAGTGAGTGTTTACTTCCAAGTCTTCAGTGCGACACACCCATAAAAACCGACTGTTTATCAGGTAGGCTCAAAACTTGGGTACAAAATAGCCTATTACTTGTTCATTTTGATGTTTTTGAATGCAAAAACCAAGCGAACGTTATAAGTTGACCTCAGACAACAATATAATAACATTTAAAAAGCCAGTTCATGACCCCTTTAAATATAAATCAGTTTGTCTTGTCATCTGGACAAATCGATGAAATGTGAATTGAAATTTCTTTCAATTCCTAGGCTTTCTCCACCAGTCTGTTTCTTTCTTTCTCTTTTTCTCGTTCTCTCTGTCTCCGTGAGCTCTGACTGACTGCTTTGTTTCTGATGAGATCACCACCATGCCGAACTAGTGCTAACAAGCAGCAGAGGCACAAGTGTATGTTCAGGGCATCAAGATATACATCGGACACACTGGCATACATTGAGAGAAAAAGAGAAAGACGTGTGTGTGTGGCTGCATGTATATGAGCAACAGAAAGAAAGAAGTTTTCTTATGCTCATGCTTGTGTTGTGTATCTTATACGGGTGAATATTTCCGTACCAATAGAACAGCAGATAGAAAAAATCCCAAATCAAATTGCACAGGATAGGCAAGCAAGAAAATATGCAAGTATGTGTGTGTGTGTTGAGGACTGACTCACCAGCTTTGCTTCTGAGTGCATGGGTGGAACATGAGGGGAGGAGCATGAGCTGTTGTGGGCGGGGCCTTGCATGCCCATCATGTTGGAGCCCATAGACATTTGCCTCTCCATCTGTACCCATAAATGTGAATATAATACTTTAGAACCAAACACATCAATGCATAAAACTAATTGAATACAGAATACAATTTCAAAAACAAAGCAATTTCTTTGGGGACAAAATTACTGAAAATCATTGCTACAATTACAATGTAATAAAAGTTGCTGCATATCTTAAATTTTTAAGTACAATCAACTTGGATGTTTATGTCATTTCAACTTAAATTGCATTAAACTGACTTAAAAATGAGTTTAATCTTGTATAATAGGCCTATAAAAAGTAAAAAATTGCTAAACTTATTTTGATGAGCAATGCAAAAACATATGCTGTCATAACTTATTAATCATATAATTTTTTACTAGTCTGTCTAGTTAAATGGCTAAATCTTCTCTTGGGAACATTATGGAGAAATTTGGTTTATAATCGTTCATGTTTTAGTCTAAAAACACAACTAGTTCATTTTTATTTATCATGCAATCATTTTAAGGAAGTATTTATTATTAAATATTATCAATACATTAATTTGAATTTATGTATACGTTTTTGTATACTTTAGAATAATTTTGTCAATATGTAATAGTAAAAAAAGTAAAAGTAGCTTTGACCTTCATCAAAGGGTAAAGACAAGTGGGTTAAAATATTTTAATGTACATAACACTAAAGATATAAACATTTATTTATAATCTAAACAGTTGATATTAGTATTATTTAAATATTTATTATTTCATTTTTATTTATTTATAAGTTATTTTAGCTTTAGGGTCACACCTTAGTATTGAAAAAAGCTTTATATGTAGCTAGTCCATGGCCGAACATCACAGCTACGTAAATATGTGCATGTGGTTTAATGTGTGTATCTATAAATATTCCGCAACTCTGTGGGAAAAGCAGCAGTCAAAGAAAAGCTAAGAGAGGAAGCTGAATACTGCAGAAGTGTGAAGCCTAAAATAGTAATATTAACAAGACCAAACTCAACCAAAGCTCAGTTCTGTGTGCATGACAGAATATCTTGATTCAGAAAGTCTTAATTAAATGCGACTAAAAGGTTTTCAATGTTTGCACTCATACAAAGAGTGCGCTGGTGATTTACGTTCAGTTTAAGGTGAGGGAAACTGTAAAATGGTACTTTCAATGTGTGTGTGTTAGATTGAGAGACTGGGGGTCCTGTTACTAAAACCCAACCCACTAAGACCTCCAAGATCTCCCTTCGACCCCCCCTTTCCAACCCCCTGTTGACCTATTGCAGGGTGAAAGCGTAGCAGTCCGCTGTAATTATTGGAGGAATATTTGGTTTAAAAATATCACCCCACCCTGCACCCCTTTCTTGGGATGTCAATCGAGAGGGAAAAAAAACGTCCTACTTTAATTTAATCAACTGCTTTTACCTCTATAGGCAACATGGACTGGCTTATGTTACAATGAGAACATGTGTTGTGTCATTAGAACCCTGATATGGGCGGCTCGCACACACACACACACACACACGCACTCCTACCTCAGACTGCATTGAGGTTCCTATTGACTTTTCTGAAATAGAATTAAAACAAATCGAGCTTTGGTAGAAAATTACACCTCTGCTGATGGGCTTCCTGATAAAACAGCCACTGATATGGGCCACGACACTGTAAAAGGCATTAATTTAAAGCAGACTGCTGAGAAAAGCATGAGAATGGTGCATGAAAGATTAGTTTGTGCGCGTATTAATGCGTTTCGGTTGTCAGAGCCATCAGAATCCCCCGACGTGGAAGTGCAAATGCATTGTGTGTGTTTGTGGCTGTATTTATGATGATCTTACAGGCATCAGAACAGCAGACGATCCTTGCATAGTGGGGTCAGGCAGTGTGCCAGGCATGGAGGCCGGCAGTGGCTGTCGCTGTCTGTTCCTCAGGTGCAGCAAAGAGGAAAGGGAACCAGGCACTGGCCTAAAAAATAGAGAACCAGAAGAGAAAGAAAATTTGAGGAAAAGGGAGATTAACCCGTTTCCTCGGATGAAACTTCTGAGGAAACTGACGTCACAAACACTACACATTCGCAGTAAATTCGGTTCTCGTTGCGGTTTGTCATAGTTCCTAAGAATGTCCAGTGCCTCATTCTGTCTTACTTAAAGGCATTGTTTACCGAAAACTGGAAAATTCTGTTAGAGGAGTAGTTCACTTTTAAAAAAAACTTTTGCTGATAATTTACTCACCCCCTTGTCATCCAAGATGTCCACGTCTTTCTTTCTTCAGTCGCAAAGAAATTAAGGTTTTTGATGAAAACATTCCAGGATTTTCTCCATATAATGGACTTCAGTGGGAACCAAACGGTTCAAGGTCCAAATGAGAGTTTCAGTCAGCTTCAAAGGGCTTTAAAAGACACCAGACGATGAATAAGGGTCCTATCTAGGAAAAAAAGATTTGTTTATTTTGATGAACGAGTTTGATCAGGAGAGTCACGGACGCTCATCACAGAACAGAGCAAGGCGAGCATTTGTGCTTATAAAACTTAAACTTTTTTATTTATTTTTTGACCGATCGTTTCAGATTAGATAAGACCCTTATTCATCGCCTGGTGTCGTTTAAAGCCCTTTGAAACGTTTGCACTGAAACTCTCATTTGGACCTTGAACCATTTGGTTCCCATTGAAGTCCATTATATGGAGAAAAATCCTGGAAAGTTTTCATGAAAAACCTTAAATTTCTTTTCGACTGAAGAAAGAAAGACATGGACATCTTGGATGACATGGGGGTGAGTAAATTATCAGCAAAAGTTATTTTTTTTAAAAGTGAACTACTCCTTTAATATTTACTCATCCTCATGTTGTTGTTCCATGAGGCGTTTTTTCTTGCGAGATAAGGATATATTCAGCTTTTCCATATAATATGTCATGTGTAACATTTATATAATTAATCTATAAAAAGTATGATGAATAAATCTAAGAATATTTTGGAAAAACGTTTTTAAAAATACTGTAAAATTATTTGATCAATAAGTTATGACAACATATGTTTTTAAATTTCTTTAACTCATCAAAATAAGTTAAGCAATTTTCAACTTTTTATGTTATACGAGATTCAACTCCTTTTTTAAGTCTGTTTAATTTAATTTTAAGTTGAAATGACTTACAATTCTAAGTTGATACTACTTAAAAATTTAAGGCAGCATTTTTACAGTGTACTCCTTCTGTATTCATGTTTCATAAGTAAAAAAAAAAACTTATATGCAATTTTCAAGAAAAGTTTACATCCTAAAAATGGCTAAACAATTGCAATGTGGTTTAACCATTACGCAAAAAAATTCCCATATACTTCGAAAATGTGTGTACATATATAAAAAGAATTATTGTTATTTTTATTTTATTTTTATCACTATGGCTTGCATGGGAACTCACACCACATGTCTCCTTTACATAAACTTGCCTTGTCATAAAAAATGACTGATATTTATTTATTAGATATTAAAGAGACTTATTGTCCTTAGTAAATGGTTGTGAGGTTTTGCAGTTTTATTTTTATCTGATATAACAGATAGAACATGTCATTGACCCCTTGTTTCCATTGTCCAGGGACGAGCATGTGAAGAATCAGTGGTCAGAGTTCATATTTGCAACGATACCACAACAGTATAGCCCGAACCTTGTGTTCCCATCATTTTAATGACGAATCATTCAAAATTCAAAAACATAAATGAATTCAAATATGGATTCACAAGCCGAGGTTGTTCCAGAAGGAGGGCTCAGTATCCAGTGTATATGGATCAGGTTCGTCCTCCTCCGAATCACAACCTGTAAGTAATATTAATAATGTTTGCTGTTATGTTTTCTGTAGCATGCACAATATAGTTATATTGTGTTGTGTGTGTTGTGTACACTCCGCGCAGCTTCTAAGCGGGGTACAGTTAGTTTTGTTTTTGATATTCACCAGACATTCATTGAAAAATGGCAATTACCTCCTAAACGACTTAGCCAAATATGACTTCGCTCTATATAATAAGCACTGCCCCTCAAAAGCCGCCGCAATGTGAGTTTCGCAGGGACAGCTTGCTCTTGATTCGAGTAAGGGACCGTGTGGAAAGTGCACTTTTTCTGACACGTTTGTTCAAACACTATATACAATTTTCAACACTTGACAAGCTTTAATCGCGTCACTCAAAGGAGGTGTTTGGGAAAATGAATCGTCGAACGAATCATTTGGGAGTCGTTGAGCAAATCAGTTAAAATTAATTGCATATTATAAGACAAATAAAGGGTTTTTTACTTTTTTTATCCTTGCATGCACATTAAACTGTTTTGGGAACTCCTAAAACAAAAATAGGAACATTTCAAATGCTATGGGCTCTTTAAATATTGGCCGAACTCTCTCTTTAAGAAGTAATCACGCAAAATCAGGCATGGACAGAGAGGCAGAATGGCTTTCCCAGCAAGAGAAGTTCTGTTGAAAGCTCTCAATGGAGGTTTACTGGCTCTTGCCTTAAGGCTGATTAAAGTCTGTGTGCTTCGATAAAAACGTGGATACAAAAAGATGCTAAGAGGAGTATCAGCCTATTATAAATCTCTCTCACAGTTAGTGAAGTCCGCAAACACATTAATAGCGTAATACAATAAACATCTATAAAATGTTTTCTAATACAGGCAATACACTTCCCAGAACCTCTGGTGTGACACGCAATGCGCAGTATCAACACACCAACCACACAACTTCCTCTCATTGGCATGAAGCTGCCAGCGTTACACTTCCCCTGACCACAGTGATACTTAGGTAGAATGTGTCAGATATAGCACACACTAACTTCACCATTATGCCGTCCTGTAGGACCACCACAGTTTTGAAAAACGCCGCTTGTCTGAATAACCTTTAGCCTCAGATGACAAGCATTATTTGGGTCTGATTGGAGGGCTGACGGACAGCTGAAAGGGAAAGGAGGGGGTCCCCACCTGAACAAATACCTGTATTTATCCGTCCTAAATAGCAGCATTTACACTGCATGATTGCTGTGTACGTATAGACACACACAAGCACATACGGTCATTAAAATTCTGACATATTGTCATTTGAGTCTAACTCTCCAATCCATCACATGCTTAACAACCTCACATCTCTAAAACACACATATACACACCCAGCTCATTTTTTTAAAGGAATAGCTCACCCCAAAATGAAACTCACATTTTCTTTATTGTGGGAAGAAACTCTTTCATTCAATGAAGCTCCAAAATCTAACAGCTTTGTGAGAGACCCAAACCGAAATTGCTAGAAATATTCCCCTCGGCTGTCAAATCTAATTTGCGTTACCTTATATTCAGGTTCACAATACCTGGAATAGTTCAAGTTATATGAGCTACTTTTTCTGGACTTTTTTGTAACTTGGTGCTTGACAGACCCAATCTCATTCACTTTCATTGTATGGAAAAGAACAGTTGGATATCCATTAATCCATAAATTGCTCTTTTTGTGTTCCACAAAAAAGTATGTATAAATAAATGACATGAAGGTGAGTGTAAGATGAGAGAAGTTTAATTTTGCAGGGAACTATTTCACTCTAGCATTTTAAGCAAAAAAGGATGCTAACAACATTAGCATTCCGCTAACCTGCACTCATTAACCACCACACAGAGACTGGTTCTCTAAATTAACATTTGAATAAGTACTTCCTTAACAACCGTTAAAAAGTATGCTCTATGTCTAAATGCGTGAAGTAAGAATGTGATCCGGACATACTACATTTGCCATGTTGTTATTGTCATGTGAACTAGTGTTATTAGCATCACTTCACTGCCATTCACAACTCCTCTCCCATGGCCTCATGGGATAGTAAAGTGTCAACTGAATGCACATTACCATGAATTTGTACTACTTACTGTTTTTGTCTACTTTTTGCATATTAGAATGCCCTTTTGGTTCAGTGTAATAATAAAATATAAGGGAATTTAAAAGGATTTACATTATTGTGGTGGAGAACAGCTACAGCTCTGAGCAACCATTCAGAGAGCGGGAAACAGAGAGCGGGTCAACTCTCTACGGGCCAGTCCCGCAGCACATTAAAACTCAGCGAACAGGAAACAGCCTTAATTAAGAGCTCAACCTGGCCAACGGGAAGAAAGGCGCTTTAGACACTATACAGGTTCCCTGCCAAACTCGTTCACCTGCTCCTCAGCGAAAGAGAAATAAAGAATGTGTCAACAGAGAAAAGAATAAACCTGTTATGAAAGTAGCAAATTTTCAGAACAGACAAAAACTTTCCATACTCCCAGAAAAACTGCTCATGTGGGTGTACATCAAGTGCATGAATGTCTGTGACCGTGTGTGTACATGTGTGAATGATGAACTCCATATTTTGTATTAATGACAGGCTGTCATTTCAGAAGGAATAATAAGACCCCTGGAGGGTGAGGGGTGGGCATATAGACACACTCAAACACACATACACAGTGCAATCCTGACCCTCGATCTCCTCTCACATTACACACACTGTGTCCCTGTTCCAACATGACATCACTCCTCCCTTTCTATTCCTCACCGTCTTTTCTCAGAATCCTCCACTATCTTTTCTCTCTCTGAGCTAATAGACACCAAACCCAACATCACTGACGTTACTAGAGAGCCTCGAGTCTAGAGAGTTTAAGAAGTTACTCCATTCTCTCCTTGCATATAGGGTTATAACATCACAGGATACTCTAAAGTCTCATTATGCATTTACAAGAAGTACGGTACATTATTGGTCATGTACCGTCCTTCTCGAGTGTACTGGACCGGTCTCGAGACCGATTTCTGCTTTCTCGGACTCGTCTCAGATTTGTTCCTTCAAAGACTCGGCCTTGACTTGGTCTTGGACCACAGTGGGAAGAGAAGGACTCGTAATTTTCAGACCGAGTCCTCGAGATTTTTTTTCCAGCGCATTTTTTATGTTCATATAACAACAATAATCTTAAAATGCAATGTTGACGG